AAGAGCAGCACCAGGTGATAGCTCTAATTTTCTTTCAAAGCAACTTTATTACAATAATTTATCTTTATTTCAGTTTTCATAAAAGGGCAAGGAGAAATAAAAAAGAGGTAAATGTATTGCCTTTTAAATTTCTTGGATAGCCTTTGAAGACAAATAAGCAAAAGTCTAGTGCTGGGCATGCTGAAAAGATAATCATATTCAGAACGTCCAGTGTGGCCACTGCTAGAATGTGGTCTCATGAGACTGGAAGGAATGAGGCTCCTTGAGAGCTGTGTCTCTAAAATTGTGTTCCTCCGAGTCAGGATGCTGGCTGGTGTGTGGTGTGTGTATCTCTCGTATGTGGGGGCGGCCTTGTGGTGTGTGGGTGTGAAAGGACGGGGGGCCAGGGAAAGATGGAAGAGAGAGGACATTAGAACTCTCAGTCACTGTTTCAGTGAGAACATCCCAACGTTATCCTTTTATGTATTGGTACCCCATATGAGATTCTGTTTGGAAAATGGTTTCCATGGCCATTAAGAGGAAGAAACTGTTGACCTAGGACCTGATAAACAATTGTATTATTTTATGCAAAAAAAACGTTCTTTTTTTCTGAGATGGAGTCTTGGTCTGTCACCCAGTGGTGTGATCTCTGCTCACTGCGACCTCCGCCTCCCAGGTTCAAGCGATTCTCCTGCCTCAGCCTTCCAAGTAGTGGGGACTACAGGCATGTACCACCATGCCTGGCTAATTTTTTGTATGTTTAGTAGAGATGGAGTTTCACCGTGTTAGCCAGGATGGTCTTGATCTCCTGACCTCGTGATCTGCCCTCCTAGGCCTCCCAAAGTGCTGGGATTACAGGTGTGAGCCACTGCACCTGGTCATTTTGTGCAAAATTTTAATCTGTGTTAGCAACCTACATAGGCTCAGCAAAACACTTCGAATGTATTCTTAAACTGTTTCAGTTAAGGAAAAAATGTTTAAGGTTTGTAGGAAAAAAGAAAATAAGACAAAAACAACTACACTGTTTAAGTAAGAAAGGTTCAGACAGAAGTATTTAAAAAATCTATTGTTTTATTTTTTCTGTTAAAAGTCAATATGATGTATTAACACAAATGATGAAACTGAAAATGAGAAATCCCTCCTTTTTAGCAACTCTGTCCTGAATCAGGGATATGATTACGTGACGAAGGACCGCACGAAGGTCCGTGAGAAGCCCTGTGTCATCGAGATCATTGCAACGGAAAAGTGACTTGCTGGGCCTATAAGTGGGTCGCTGAACGTTCCCTCAACCTCCCTCCTGCCACCCTGCCCAGATTTTAAAGAGCCTTGGGAAGGAAGTGTCATACACACTGGGAGCAGCACAGTAAGCCTGTGTGATTAATACTAGGTTTCCCTTTTTTAGCTGCTTAGGATCAAAAGGAAAAAATAAAGGTTAGAAAAAATCCATATCAAGCGTAACATAGGATTGGAAACACATCAGTGGTTGGAACAAATGAGAACCACATTTTCATCATCTGGCTCCAATAACTGAAGGAAACACCCTTTCCTTCTTTGGGAGCTGTATTGCTCTCTGGAGTTTCAGGGAAGCCCAAAGGTGGAGACCACGTGACCTCCAGGTGAGCCTGTAACCGGGTCCTGCCAAAGCCTCTAATGGCCCCTCTGACCCCCTTTCCCCTTAAACTACACCCATCTCGTCTCTTCCCAGGACATGGTGTCTTTTAGGGACGAAGGGGATGGTAGCATTTCCTGGAGATTTTGGACATCCAACAGCCCCCTCCCCACCCCCCATAACTTCTCAGCTGCCTTCCTGGCCCCTAGGGTAGAAGGGGCAAAATCAAGACCCTTATGTTTTGGAGCCATTTAAACAATTTTATCAAAAAGTTTTGTTAAAATAGATATTCTTATTTTTCAGCTTCTTTTGTTCTTCAGTATTTACATGCTAAGTGTACATGCTTGCATATTCTTGCATATTTCACAATATCCTTTTAAAAAGCTGTTTGGTTTCTTTTGACAGGAGTTCAAATCTGGCTTTTGAGCTCTGGCACAGCAGAAGAAAGGTAGCCAACAGTGGAATCTGAAACAGCCCGAGGGGCCTTCTCTCATTAGCCCTTTTGATACCCAGAGAAGTCACTCTGTCTTTACAGCATCTTATTTTTTTTTTTACCTTTATCACTGAACTCTAGAGATAATGAGATATCATTCTCTCTCTCTCTCCCCTATTTAAATATGCATTCTGTGAAGGTGGGAACCTTAAATAGTGCCTGGTATATAATAATTGCTCAACAAATATTTGTTAAAAAATGGGAAGATGCTTATTTAGACAGTGAAGGGCTTGTGGGGGGTGGGCAGGGTTGCTGCTCTGGGTGCAGTCTGGGGAAGTAGGTATGGTGAGCAGGTAAGACGTGCACATGGTCTTGTCCAGGATGTAGGAGTCGCAGCACCACAGCACATTTAAATACTTCTGGAATGTTTGATACTGGCATTGAAATGGGTGGGGGTTCCCTTGACCCCTTCGCAGGACTTGTGAAGGGGTTGGCTCATTTACTCAGCTGCAGCACTCAATCTCTTATGGAAGTGAGCACAGTAGCAGATGGGTATGGGAACGTGAACAAATGAACACTGGAACTGACTGGTCCCTTCTCTCTGGCAGGAGCAGGTTCTGTGTGGGCCCTGTGGCAGCATCCAAGTGTGTTATAATGCTCTTTTAATTCTGCTGTCTGGAAGAGGATGTCTGCAACTCCCCAGAGCCCCAGAGGGCATGTGTTATGATCAGTGCTCTTTTAGCGTTTGGTATTCACAGACAGCTAAGTATTAACCAGGTCAGTGAAGGGTCAGGGTGACAGCTTTTTATACCCTTATACCCTGCCCTCTTGATACCTGAGTTCTTGTCTGATGTCAAGAAAGAATCAGGTCACAAGAAATAATTAAAGGTGGAAATGGCTCTCAGCAGGAAGGGGAGCTGGAAAGGGGGTGGAGTGGGAAGATAATCTTCTGGAGTCCAGCAGTTCCCAGCTGAACTTCTCTCCTACCATAGTCTCCAACATCCAGCTGTTTCTTCTCCTCTTGATGTTTAGACACTTCTCTCTTCTGTGCGTATGATTGCTGAGTCTGGGGTCTGGGGTTCTTACAGGCACATGATAGGGGATGGGGTGGGCCAAAAGGCAGTATTCAGGTGGGAACACAGGGATAGTTCTCACTTTGGTCCAGAGGTCCAGGCTTGAGAGTGGAGCCCTCGCCAGGAATCCTACCCTCTTCTACCCAGTATTTCCATGCCTCCTGTCCTTATCAATGTCACCTCTTCCTTGAGTTCCTAGTGTCAGCCAGTCCAAGTCAATGAGTCAGTAGATTTTCTGATTTTCTTTTCTCTCAAACTGTCAAAAGCTGTTCAGAGTTATTGAAGACACTCAATTTATTGCAGTTAGGAATGCAGAAACTTAGATGAATAAAAAATGTTATCAGATTTTAACTTAAGACCCTTATTGTTAGATGTTTATTTTCTTTAAGGCTTTTGGAAAAGGAAATAAAAAAATCTTAAGTACATATAGATGGCATGAAGAGGAATGCAAAGATTTATGTCTTTGACAATGAAGTGGATTTTTTAAGTGTTAAAAAAAGAATGATAATTTTTAGTTTAAAGGCATTGAGTGCAAGGACAATTACGCAAGTAAAACCTCACTTTTTGAACTCAGAAAGTGATAGTTCATTGACTTAATGGATTTTCAACTTAGCAAAATTGCCTTCTAAAAAATAACTAATGCTGTTTTTCTCCTGAGAAAAGTTTTTTTTCCCCCCATCTCAGTGTTTTCATAAGCCCTAAAGTATTTTTGCTTTTAGTCAGGCTTTTCTATGTGGGTTTTGGTGTGAATGTAGATAAATTTTAAGTTTCTTTCTGCACCCAAATTACCACTCAGTATTTCTTTCATATAAACATGCTTTGAGTTGAACCACTCATTTCTACTTATAATATCTCATTTAGCTACAGTAACTTCACGGACCCCTTAACTTGCTCTATAATAGTGGGAATACTGAAAGTCACCAGGTCACCATGGGCATAGAATGTGCTAGAAGTGACTCTTGCCTGGTTATAATTTTGGCTGGCCCTGACTTGCATTGCATGTCAATTGCAGGAGTTTGTTACCTACCTAGGAGGGTTTCAATGGGGAAGAACCCTGCAAGCTGCAGGAAGTTCTTCATATGTCTACTGACATTTGACTTGTATTCTTGCCGAGAGGTGGTATGCTTCCAGGGATCACTGGGGGACACAGAAGCAAACCTGGGAAAATTGAAGCAGGGCCCCTGAGATGTAATTTACCAGGTATATGCACTGGCATCCTGGCTTAAGGGATGGAAAAAAGAATAACCTGTGCATGTCTACAAATTGTTTCAGATTTGAAGAAAACGCCATGATAGATTCCTCTGTGTATTTTCTGAAAAAGCAATTCCTCAGCAGTTTGCTTACATATTTACAACACTGTTGAGAATGTTCATAATTATAATCATAGCCACAGAGAGATTGAAGATGTTTAAATTCAGCCTCTGGTCAATCTGAGTGTTCTGGAAGGAAAGGAAATTATTTCTGACTGCATGTATTTCTGCATTTCATATCTTGATATTAATTCATGCTGTGATCAAGCAAACCCTCTCTGGGACTTATTAATGCTTTACATTTACTTTGGGGCTTTTTCTTTGAGGAGGTATTGTTATAGTAAGTAGCTGGTCAGGGATAGGCAAGACAGGAGAGGGCTCTCCCACCCTGTCCCAGAAATGTCAGGCGACATCAAGGGATGGTCAGGCAGTTGTTAATTGTCTCTCTAAAATAATGATTGGTCACAGCCAGTGCTAGGGAAAGGCGGTTTCCCTATGATAGAAAAAAACCTGAAACAGGTGAATGGCAGTTTCCTGATGAGATCTCGGGAGTTGGGCAGTGGGCTCCAACATGCGCATCAAGAGGCAAAACTACAGTTTAACTGGTCTGTGACGTTCCATTGACATTTGACTGGTGAGGGAAGAATGCCTCAAGTGAGCATGCGTACAACTCCAGTAAACACACTGCGCATGCTCCCCTCCCAAGTGCCCGCAGGTCACTGCAGGTGCAAACGCCCACCACCAAGGGAGGAATCGGGGGAGAAGGAACGCAAGACCCCGGAGGTATGCCAACATAGAAAACCACAAGTCAAAAGGTCAAACCACACACTTGTCCTCAAAGTTGCCTGCTTGGCCCTCTTCTAAGTATACTTTCCTTCCTTTTTCTTCCTGCTTGAAAGCTTTTAATACACTTTCATACCTACTCTAAAACTTGCCTCGGTCTTTTCTTCTGCCTTATGCCCCTTCAGTCAGATTCTTTATTCTGAGGAGACAAGAACTGAGATTGCTGCAAACCCATATGGATTTGCTGCTGGTAACAGTATGATTACTTTATTTGAAATGTTCACACCCTCTCATCATATTACAGAAAACAGACAGTATCCATGTAACTGTCCTCTTACCATCCACTTCACTCCCATCTTCCAAAATAAGCAAATTATAGCCCTAAGTGGACATTACGATCAATAAGAAAGGAAGTGGAGGGAAACAGGTTTATATAGTGGGATGAGCACTGGACGACAGCTAGGGAAAATGATATGACACCCTACTGCTGCTAGCCAGAGATGTAATGTTGGAGAAAGGTACATTTTGGGGTCATAATTTCCTTGCCTAGAAAATAAGAAAGGTTGGCCAGATGACTTGTAGGGTCTCTTCAAGCTCAAATTCTAGGGTTGGAGTTCAGAGAGCAGCAGAAAATGGCTGTGAGACCCTCTTTGGGGACAGTCTCCCCCACACTGGGGATTCTCTTCTTTTTCTTCTCAGGGAAACAATGAGCACATTGTGAATTATAATAACATTCAGCAGGTCGGGATTTTGTCACCATTGTGAATACAGCTTCCAAAAGGAAAGGGAGAGAGAAAAAAAGACTTAAACAAGAAAAAGAGTTTGATTTAAAAAAGATAAAATTTATACCAAGTTCAAAAACTAAACTGTGCATCAAAATGTACACTCATGGTGTATGGATACATCAAAAAATGAAACAGGGTGAATAATTTTTAAAAAGGAAACAGTATTTATGTATAATCCAAATCAATCTACATGGTGTGTTATTTAAAGGATTCCCCATTCCAGAGTGCTTAGGAAATAAGAGTTTCTGGATGGCTGAGTTTACCCAGATACCTAAAGGTTAGTTAATCTTTTACATTTTGTAATTTATTTTTAATGAGAAACTTTCTAAAGTGTACATTTCCTTGTCTTTTGAGACAGAGTAGATTAAATGGAACATAACATTTCAGCATAATTAGCCCTTGGGAATATAAGTCTCGAGTGCTCAGTTCAAAGTTATAGACTCAGATGTAGACATAGATGGTATGGCTTGTGGGCTGAAGGCTTATAGACACAACTGTGCTCCTGAAATGTGTTTGTGTTTTTGGAATTAGTGCTTTGGAAATTCCCTGTTATCAATCTGCATCACAGTCATTTGCCTGCTTCTTGTAAAGAAAGTGTGGCCTAAGGCTACACCAGCTAAATGAATTCCTGAGGAGTTGAGCATAGCTGCCTCTCAGAACATTAGCGATCTAATTAAGGCAGTCTTCCTAATGACTGCTCTTAGGTCCTTTGGCTCGTAAGCACTGTTCAGTACATGGTTGTTCACATTCTGGACCACAGGCTGTGTGGGCCACCCCTCCTCTCTCCGATGTCAGATGTCATGCCTCTTTATAGCCACTTCCCCTAGTGTTTTCTGCTCCCAGGTCTAGAACTGCCCTAACAGAACAACCCATCAAGGTCCTCTTCCCTTCTGATCAGCACATTAACCAGCTGCCATGTGTTAGTATTTGACTAACACATTTGGCATATTGGCCACTGGATATTCAAGAACCTTGTTGCTAAAGAGGCAATTAAAAGGATTAACAAAAGCCATTATTATAGTTCTATACGTATAGTGTACTTGTAGGGTTATGATATATATTACTCTTTCTTTTCCCCAAATATAAAAGGTTTTCCCTCTATCCAATGGGTTCTTGCTCCAGTTGTCAAGCCAGGCCCCCAGAGTTCGAGGAAAGGGATGGACAGCAGGACAGTGGCGGTGTTGCTGCTCCTTGCAGCAGAGCCTGGTACCCATGGGAAGAAATAACAAGCCCAGGTCATGCAGCTGATAAGAAGAAGCAAATCTGGGATTATTTCACTAATCTTAGGTATAAATTTGCCTCAGCATAAGCTATGAGTTAAAACCAGTAGAATCATTAGAATCACAACAGATTCAAGGCAGCATCTATTAGAATTCATGATGTTTTTCCTTGTTTCCTGTTGTTTACTCACAGTCAGGGAAGTATTTGGTTTTGCTGCCTGCATAAACATGATATTGGAATTCTTTCAAACATATTATTTAGTTTCAAGCTGTCGCCCAGTTCTTATTTTTTGTTTATGCGTACTTCAGCTCCGTATAGATTAACTGCAAATTTATTGTATTCTACTACTTGCTTCTTTCAATTTTTACGATGTATTTACTTGGTCCAGAGCGCTAATATAATAATCCATTTACATATGTTTTATAGCATGACTGGCTTTTTAGGTACCAACATATTCTGAAAAGCAAGATTGTTATTTGCATTTATAGTGTCATATAAAAGATGTAGGATTTTATCCATCAGTAAATTTGTTGCATTTTATATTTATTGATATCAATATACTTCTTTCTATCCCTGTGATTTTATACCTTTTGCCCAGAATGTTGGAATATTGCTGATCATGATTTTTGTATTGGTTCTAATAAGTAATATACCATATTTTTATGAGTAACATAGTATTTCTCCTATAAAACCACAGTAAAATCACTTTCAATCCTTTTAGTTTGATAAAAAGTACTTTATTTTTCCCCAAGAGTTTTTCATAAAATCTCCAGGTACCTTGTATGTGGCGTGTGTTCTGTGTGCCCATTCACTATACATAGCTCCAGAAGTTATTATCTTCCGTTTTATTCCATCCAGGCTTGTTCAGCGTCTTCTGAGTGATGGCTGTGAGCCTCACTTCCACTTCAGCAGCAGGGTGATTTAGAGCTCCTTCTAGCATATCGTGAGAACTGATATTTGAATGAGCTCACAAAATACATGTATGTGTGGGATTTTCCAGGCTCACAAAGGGTCACTTCTCATATTTTATCATCAAACATCCACCATTATTTTTCCTTAACCAGATACCTTTTATAGTCATGATCCCCCTATAACCTTAGCATTTTAAGTAAGTCATCCACCTGTGAACTATTACCCAAAAGAGGAAGAGGAGAAAGGATCATTTGCCGGGGACCATCTTTGTCATCATGTGGTTTGGGTTCTTAAGTAGCCACGATGTGTGAGGACCACTTGCATTTCATGATTTTTGAATTCTTATTTTAAATTCACTTTCGTTGAACAAACTTCTGTGTTTCTTTAACTATTTTTATTTCTGGTTCAAATTCAGGCATGCTCAGAAGAGAAAAAGAGTGGTTTGTTTTTATGATGTTAGCATAACACAGTACAGAACTGTCTCATTTATTTATAGCTTGAGATTTATGCCACCATCTAATTCCAAAAGGAATTTGAGGTGGTACATGGAGATGTTGACTTTGCTCTTATCTGAGCGCCTTAAAATGTAATTTATGCTGGTTGTTGTGTCCCATGTATCAGCCCCTTCTTGGCATTTGGTGATTAATGTCTGTGAATGGAACAAAACTCATACTGAAGGTATAAAACATCCTCTCATCTGTGAGGTCTTGGCAAGCACTGAGAAAACTGCAAGAAGAAATAATTTGAAATTGCACACTGGGCGCAAAAGAGTTGAATGGCTGTTTTGGTTTTAAAGGGGAAGTGTGAAGGGTAAAATCACTTTTATTTTTGAGATGGAGTTTCACTCTCATTACCCAGGCTGAAGTGCAGTGGCACGATCTCAGCTTACTGTAACCTCTGCCTCCTGGATTCAAGTGATTCTCCTACAACAGCCTCCTGAGTAGCTGGGATTACAGGCGTCTGCCACCATGTCCAGCTAATCTTCTGTATTTTTAGTAGAGAACAGGGTTTCATCATGTTGGCCAGGCTGGTCTTGAACTCCTACCCTCAGGTGATCCACCTGCCTTGGCCTCCCAGTGATTACAGGTGTAAACCACCATACCCAGCTGATAAAGTAACTTTTTTGAGACATTTCCACCAGAAAATGGCTAATGCTCCCCTTTGTACTCTCTGTGTAGGCAACCCCCAATCATTGGTGCCCCTCTGGGTTTCTGTCCTGTTGCCTCACTACTGGTGAACTGCAGGAACTAAGTCATGCATTTACTTATTTGTCTTTGCACAATGTCACATGGAACAACTCTGTGACAAAATAAGTTAAACAAGTTTGACATCAGTAAACAACGCAACTTCTGTTTTAATCTCGCTTCTCACATCATCCATTGGGAAGTAAAATAAGGAAGAAGAGGGGGAAGATGAGGATGGAGGAGGAAGGAAGAGCTGAAGTAGACATTTTTGCGTGGTGTTTCATTAGGTGAGTGATTGACCCCACATTTAATTGGCTGGCAGATGGCTCAATGGCTGTTTTTCAACCCAATTGACTGGATGTTTGGGCTCAGCAATTTCTCTTGGCAAAATTGTGAAGCAGTTTTGAAGCTGTCTTCACTGCTCATTCAGTTTCCTTTCCATGCTACCCTCCCTGATACCTTTGTGTTTTCCTCTGGGTGCCTTTCTGGGAGCACAGCCTGCCTCTCAAGGACCCAGGGTGGGACACACAGAAGGGAGAGTTCTAGAAAGAAAAGGAGGACTAGGCCATGCACAGGTGCAAGATCAGAGGCTCCCCTCTGCAGAGGCTGGGGAGCCACAGCCTTCATCACTGGGGTGAGGACCGACAGGCGGTGGATGCTGTGGACGTGGCTTCCTTATTTGCACCATCGAGGGTTTCCAAATCAGAATCACTTATGCTTATTAAAAAGTCATTTTCCTTGCCTCTATTGTGGACCAACTAAATTAAAATCTCTCTGGGAAGGACACTAAAATCTGAATTTTACCAACTCCTTAAGGTGATTTGGGTGGACATGAAATTGGACCCCCAGTGGACTCTCTCTCATCTACACGATCTCTTATGACTCAGCTCTAACCTTTAAAATGCTAAAGCCAAGTGAGTTTGTCTCACTTTATTCCCTGTAAGGAGAAGCCCTGGGCCACAGATGTCCAGCAGGAACTCTCCGAGAACCTTATCCTCATCAACCTTCCTCAGCACGTCATGCCTTGGCAGGCACTGCATGCAGGTGTGGATGGGTCACATTGCCCTCCCTGTGGAGCTGGGAGCAAAACAGTGTGACTCCACTGGGGGCTGGTCCAAATGCGGCCTCGTGATGGACTCCTGCTCGTGGGCACGAGGGCACCAAAGATAGGAGGGGCAGAAGGAGGCTCCCTGCCAATGGGCCCGCCAGCAAGTTCCATGGCAAGGAGAGTGGCAGGATTAGACAGAGGCAGCAAATGGAAATCAGGTCAGGCTGGAGGGAGAACATTCTGGATGACATCATGGTCGCCAGGAAGCTGGGGAAGGGAGCCTGCTTGGCTAGACCATGCCAAGAGTCTGAAAGGGTCAGAGGCAGGGTCAGCCGATCCCAGAGGGAGTGCAGATACTTTCAGAATGACCTCTGGTGCTGGGATTCTGGGGTGCTCTGGGGATGCAGGAATAGCCTGCCACCCTGAGAAACTCGTTGACGCAAAGTTCTAGAAACACAGCCAGCTGTCTGAGGGGAGTCAGGTCCATTTAGGAAGATCCTTTTTTTCCCCATGGCTCACTAAAAACGAAATCTAACTTCATCTCCCTGGGCCTCAGTTTTCTCATCCGTAAGATGTGGGTGTAGATAATCCCCGCAGTATCCTCCAGTCCTCTGTTTCTATGGAAACTAAGCAAAATAAATAACACAGGAAAATATAAAAAGACACTATTAAACAAGATAGAGGAAAGGTAGAATTTTCTGGAGAGGTAAAAGCTTGTTAAGGGCAGAAGGAAGCCTTGAGCATAGAGAAGCTGAGCAGCAGGCCACATGAGGAGCGGGGGTGGCAGGGCTGGCTCTAAGTCCAACACACACACTTTGGATTTGGCCCCATGGGGAAGCCAGGAGGAGGTGAGTGCTCACCGCTTACCCGAGGCTGGCTGAGGTCAAGGTACAAGCAAAACTACTCAAGGCAATCACTGCTCAGGGGATCCTCCAAATAAAATGGCTCATCCGCCTCAATCTGCTTTAATGGCTCCATTGCTGCTTATGTAGCTTTTTTTTTTTTTGAGATGGAGTTTCACTCTTGTTGCCCAGGCTGGATTGCAATGGTATGATCTTGGATCACTGTAACCTCCACTTCCCAGGTTTGAGCAATTCTCCTGCCTCAGCCTCCCGACTAGCTGGGATTACAGGCATATGCCATCACACCCAGCTAATTTTGTATTTTTAGTAGAGACGGGGTTTCTCCATGTTGATTAGGCTGGTCTTGAACTCCTGACCTCAGGTGATCTGCCGTCTCCCAAAGTGCTGGGATTACAGGCAGGAGCCACTGCACCTGGCTGCTTATGTAGCTTAAAAAAAAAAATGCCTATGCATTAAAAGGCTTCAGGGAATATTCACTTTGCTCAAATCCTTAGTGACAGTGAGCATCAAGCTTCCAAATGCCAAGCATACTGCCCATAGCATGTTTTAAAAGCCTAAATAAATGGAAAGAATATCCAATGTACATGTTCCATTCTGCAACCCCAAGTCCCCTAGTGCCCTCTGGTTCCTCAGCGGGCCTCCTGTGTGTCTGGGTGGAGAGAGTGTCTTTGACCTGTCACAGGTGTGGTGCACTACCCCTAGCTAGGGCCCTCCCAGTCAGGAGGAGGGTGGCTCCTTCAGCAGGGGGACCAGCTCCAGAGTGCAGTCCCAGATGAGTGCCATTTCCAATGCATCTTATTTCCAATGTACCTAGAGACTCCGTCAGGAATGGGACCACCTCATAGAGTCACACACACAACCCTTCTTTTGGAGCTTGGAATGCAGAAAACCCAGCAGCACCAGCTCTCTCTTTAGACAAGGTAACCAAAACCAATTTTAAATCTCAAACATTCCTCTGCACCTTCTGGCAATAGGCATGGATGATCCCTCATTGAGGAATTTGTTCTTATCCATCTTGGGATTGAAGAGACATCCAGGTTGGGCTCCTCACACCGTAGGCTCCCGTTGGAACACAGGAGTGACTTGCAGGGAGGCAGCCCCCATCCCAGACGCTCTGCCCCTATCTCCTGTCTCTGATCCCCAAATGGGTGTGAGAAGAGTGAAATGGGAAGGTCACTTCTCACTGATTTAAAACTCTTACTACAGCACAGAGGGGCTACTTGTACTTTTACAGCAACTGAATAGCCAGTACATCATGTACAGAACACAGGAAACATTTGTTCTTGAATTTTCTTGATCACAGATGGTTCTAAACTAAGGTTGTGGAGCTTATGTAGACCCAGAGCACTCCCTTGCTTGTAATAGACTGTCTTTGGAAGAAAAATGCAGGACCTATTAGGTGTTTTCTTCCTGCTGTGAAAACTGAAAAGCAGGCTTGGTCCTCTTAAAGATTTCACCTCTGTACTGTCTAATTGATCGAGTGTATTTTAATTTTTGTCATCACATCTTTCATTTCCACGTTTATAGTAGGTTCTTTTTCAGTGCTGCTTGTACCTGTTTCATTTCTCCTTGTTTGTGTTTTATGCGGTCTTTTTTCTTGTTAAAAGAAGTTATGCCTCATTTATCTTTTTGAACACATTTAGCCTACATATTTGAAGGTTTTGCCAAAAAATTCTATAAAATTAAGTCTGGAGTAAATTTATATTTTGGTGGTTAATTTTGTTGGCTGTCTCTTTTAGTATTAGATTGCATAATGCATCTGTCTCTCTCTCTCAGACTAGAAGATTTGCAATTGCTTCCTCCCGGCCCTCTGAGCCTCTGGGATTAAGAGGTTTCAGAGCAGTTTCAGATGCCTGTTCCACTGTGATGCTGGAGATGGCAGATCCTCTCACTCAGCCAGCTGGCAACGTGGTTTACTGTCACATTTAGATGAAACTAGGAGCTGCTGTCCAAAACGATCTCTCCAGAGGACATTTGCTGTGTTACTTTTTTCCTTGTTTAGTCCCTTTTTGTGATTAGGGAGAGCCCCCTCAGTTCCTGCTTTCAAGCTGCAAGCCTGCCCCCTGCCCTGTGTTTGATGGAGAACTCCTGGTCCCCCTTACCCAACAGAACATTATCTCTTGGTAGCCACTGCCTGCTTCCAGATGTGGGGCCTACTGGGATCCTGGTCTCAGCCACCTCACCATTTTGCATCTCTATTCCATTTCTGGTGCAGGAAGACGTTTGTTTTGCTGATTCTGGCTGAAGTTTTCTGTTCCCTTTTAAAATACGTTCCTGTCATCGCTATATTGCACTTATTACTATATGTGTGACCTCAAAGCGTGAACACTTGGATATAACTCCAAAAATGTGTTTCTGTTTCTGCAAAACTTAATTTTTAACTTATGCAAAATTCTGCTGTGCCTTCGTGCATTTCAAACACTTGTCAGTTCCTAATGTGTGCAGGTCATTGTTCTCAGTTCTAATGGAGCAGTGGGGAGAAGTGTTATAAAGCTTTTCGACTTCCAGATGGTTTCAATTTAATCAAGGTTCAACTCTCGTACTCAACGAACTGTAATGCAGACAATGCCCATCATCTTCTGAACCCAAACCAGAAGGCCTGGTCTGACTGTAATCAAGCAACTTGAACTTTCCAGTCTGTTTCTCCATCTGCAAAATTGTAAGTGTAGAATCTACTACTTTGGGTCATTTTAAGGATTAAATAATATAACAGAAATAAAACACTTAGTATCTGGCACAAAGAGATTAACTATACTTATCTCAGTAGGCACTGTATCAACTTTAAGTATCATGACATTCACACACACACACACACACACACACATATATGTATATGTGTCTATATAGAGGAGAGTAGTTTCTTAAAAACTTAGGTTTTTTGTTTCTTTGTTTTGAGATGGAGTTTCGCTCTTGTTGCCCAGCCTGGAGTGCAATGGTATGATACTGGCTCACTGCAACCTCTGCCTCCCAGGTTCAAGTACTTCTCCTGCCTCAGCCTCCCGAGTAGCTGGGATTACAGGTGCACACCAACACACCCAGCTAACTTTCATATTTTTAGTAGAGAGGAGGTTTCACCATGTTTGGCCAGGCTGGTCAAATTCCTGACCTCAGGTGATCTGCCCCCGTTGGCCTCCCAAAGTGCGAGGATTATAGTCATGAGCCACCATGCCCAGCAAAACAAAATATTTTTGTTTTAAATTTTTTTCTCCTTAAATTCTTGTAATTGAACTGTGATGGAATGGGCTTTTCTGCCCCCTGGACCACCGATATTTTGGTGTTTCCTCACCTGGCCCAGGAGGGATTTTTGTAGCAGAATAATGCATCCACATTATGCACAAGAGAGATTCGTTTGTCTTGAAAGGGTTCTTTTTTAAAGACGATAAAAAGTCACCATCTCCTCCTTGAATGAAACTAGGAATGGGGTTTCAAGGGCTTCGGCACAGAACCAGCAACAAAGGAGGTTCTAGGGGTGGACAGAATGTAAAGAAAGGAAGAAAGGAAACCAAGGGAGAGGAACTCATGGATGCTCATCTGAGAAAGCCTCTGCATGTCTGAGAAGTGACCCAGTGAGAAGATATTTTATACTATCCTCTGTACTCTGAGAGTATTTGTGATTGGTGGTGAGTGTGATGGGATTCTTTTCTGGTAATGGGTATCCTTAAGTTCACTGCTGGAATGGCTGAGTGATGCCCATTTTTCCAAGGGTAGAACCATGGCCGAAAGCTTGATTCCCTGGGATATCAGATGCCCTGGGATGCCCTAGATCACCATAGGCAAAGCTAATTGTGAAGACTGGTGAGAAAGTAGTGTCTACACGAAACATTTCCCTAACCCACATATAGATATTTTGGTCCAAGGGCATCCTGGGAGGGGTGTGGGCACTTTACATCCAATGTCTTAAGACAATGGAATGATGCAGTATTTAAAACAGAGACTCTGGAAAGTCTAAGATGAGTGGACCCCAGAGCAGGATAGATGCTGTGTGAGTCATTGGACAAGAGAAAAGCTCAAGAGTGATTCCTTCCTGATCAGAAAAGGCCCATGGACTTTGTGCTGAAGAGATCTTTATTTTATTTTATTAAGTTCTGGGTTACATGTGCAGGATGTGTGGGCTTGTTATATAGGTAAACGTGTGCCTTGGTGATTTGCTGCACCCATCACCTAGCTATGAAGCCCTGCATGCATTAGCTATTCATCCTGATGCTCTCCCTACCCCTATCCCTCTGACAGACCCCAGGGTGTGTTGTTCCCCTCCCTGTGTCCATGTGTTCTCATTGTTTGGCTCCCACTTATAAGTGAGAACATGTAGTGTTGGTTTTCTGTTTCTGTGTTAGTTTCCTGAGGATAATGGCTTCCAGGTCCATCCATGTTTCTGCAAAGGACATGATCTCATTCCTTTTTATGGCTGCATAGTATTCCATGGTGTATATGAACCACATTTTCTTTATCAGTCTATCATTGATGGGCATTCCGATTGGTTCCATGTCTTTGCTATTGTGAGTAGTGCTGCAGTGAACATATGTATGCATGTACCTTTATAATAGAATGATTTATATTCCTTTGGGTATATACCCAGTAATGGGAATGCTGGGTCAAATGGTATTTCTGATTTAGATCTTTGAGGAATTGCCACACTGTCCTCCACAAAGACATCATTTAAAGTGCATCCAGTAGTACAAAACTGGGATGATGATGTGCCAAGCACTTTTAATTTTATTTTTCTCATATTAATAACCACAAGCAGAATGTTGGCTGATGGCCTGTTTTGATGATTAAAATGAGAAGGCTGTAACAGAGGTAAAAGACCTGTACACATAGCTAAGTGCTGCTGGGATCATGCCTATCAAGTCAATATCATCTGGAGGAGCACAGAAAAAAAGGAAACCTTTAACATGATTTGGGATGGATTTAGAGAAAAATGTCAACAGCCACCCTCATTTTTCACAACCTCGGTATCACAGCAATAATTTTTCTAATATGCTGAAACCCTTATAAGTTAAAACAGCCCTCATGAGCAGCCACCTTATTTCAGGAGAAACCAGATAGTGTTGAGCTTCATTTTTGAATGTTCTTGTGGATTTTTCTTTTTTCTTTTTTTGAGACAGAGTCTTGCTTTGTCTACCAGGCTGAGTGCAGCGGCACAATCACGGCTCACTACAGCCTGGTCCTCCTGAGCTCAAGTGGACCTTGCGCCTCAGCCTCTTCAGTAGCAGGGACTAGAGGTGTGTGCCACCATGCCCAGCTAATCACCTTCTGGAATTTTGAATGGATATTGCCTCCCTGCCCAGGAAGACCTGGAATGCTCATGGATTGCTGGGGCGGATGCAGGCTCATGGGGACAGGGTTGAGGGGTGCTAGGTGGTCTGCACATGTGGCTTTAATGTGTAGGTTCAGTTTTATGTTTCTCTCCAAGAGTTTTATATTTGTCTCCAAGAGTATTAAACATAAGTTAAGACCCACTCAAAATGAAGCAAGGCCACTGCAGTCGGTCTAAAATAAAGGAGGGAAATTGGAAATCATAAACGTTTGTGGTCAGAGGTCACAAAATGCCTGGCTGTGCCAAAACCAAACCAAGCAACATGAGATGCTTTGGGCCAAGCCCAGGCTCAGAACATCTGTGTCTGGAATGGCCCAGATTCTGTTCTCAGATTTTATCTGTTTTTCGGCCTTACCCCAAATTCCAATACAACGTCAAAATAGAACCAAATTTTCCAATGGCATGACCAAGGCTTCCTTTAGGGAAGAGTAATTTTTCCCTTAAGAGTGTTAGCTGACTGATCCTTCACCTATCTCTGGTTACAAAATTCATACAATCAGGATTAAAAACAGATTTCTTTTCCATGTTACTTTTCCTTATCAAGGGCTGCAACCCACTAAAAACAGCAATTTGCTAATTTTCCCAATATCTTCCATTTTCCTC